GTTACAACATGAGGCCCAACTGTTTGGAAAACTTTTGGGCCAACATATTAGCAGTTCGGCCCAATTGTTGTTTTTAGCTTATTTTGAGTTCTAGGAGCCGTTTTTCGTACCGATTTCAATTTTGAAAATACTTTTAAAAATAATAAAATTTTAGGAAAAATTATTTTAAGTTCCGAGACCCCGATTTACTTCTCCGAGTCATATTTTTTCAACATTAGAGAGTTTCAAGTCCACGAAAAATCCGATTAAAACCCTTAAGTCTTAATTTTTATTAAGTATGGGTTTTATGTTAAGTTTGAGTAGTGAGATAAATTATTGATAAATTATTTCGCTTAAATGTAGGTATTTGAGGAGTCGAGCCTCATCCTACGTACTTGCTATTGTGTGCAATATTCTACGGCAATTTCCAGGTGGGTTGTAATTGTAAAATTTGCTATGCCATATGTGTTTATCATGATGTTGACTTGGTATGATTTTAGTATGTACGTAAACCATGTAGCCTATCGGCTGAGCCGATTCGGTCGTCGGTACGGTTGTCCCCGTCGATGTAATACGGTTACCTGCGAGGTAAGTCTCCGTAAGACCTAATGAAAGGCCGTGCCTTGTCGTATGGCACGTACCCCCATGAGTTAGGGTAATGAATCCCCTTTCCTTGGCTAATGAAAGATGTGTACACGTGGGTATTATGCTGTGATGTGATTAGGAGACGTGACAGATTAATTGTTTTATGTTCATACTCTAACCATGCCTTCTCTTCATTATTTATGTTGTGATATATGTGCATAGTGGTGAGCACGTTTTTCATCTTGTGCTCATCTCCACCTGCTCTTCACCGATGCAGGTTAAGCAGGAGCTGGGTGACGAGAAGAGGCGAGTGGGTCGGTCATATCATTATGCATTTTATGCTTCCGCAGTAATAAATAAAACTATATGAATCTTTAGGTTGAGACTTGCTTAAACCTTTTTCCAAAACTTATGGCATGTTTGTTTTTGGGAAATTTGTGGAAACCTTGATTATTGGGTATGATGATGTGGTTTGATTATTCATGTTGAGTATTAAGTCTCGTATGTTATGTTTTGGTTAATGAAAACTATTTGTGAAAACCGGGTAATGAATCCCCGCGGGCCCAGATAAGACTTGGGTTATGAAAATGTTGTTTTACACCCATTAAATTTCGAAAATGATCTCGAAAAATTTGTACTGATTTTTGGAAAGTCCGGAATTTCTGTAAAATCAAAGTGGGGTGTTACATTATCATCAGCTCCTTGTTGCACATCTGCTTTGCCTTTTTGCTTATCATCAGTTCTACCTTCATTATCATGACACACCTCCTTTTCATTTGTGGAACCACAATCAACATGCACTTGAACAAAATGCTTGTCATGTTGCATCTTAGAAAGCATTTCCATGACACCCTCATCATTGTGCATGTGAACATACTTTCTAGTGCCAAAAGTCCTATAATACAGCTTCTCTCCATTAGTGTACCCTAACTTTTGAACTTCTTCCAAACAATTAAAATAACCAAATCTATCTTTGTCAAATCCATGTCTTTCAATGACCTATAATCCATAATACTCAAACGTATTGCCAAGCTTCACAAATTGCCCACAGTGGTTTATAAAAAGCATCAAGTCACCACTGCATATATAACAATGTAATTCAAAAACTAGGTTAATGCAAAACATGTTTAAGTACATATAAACATAATTAAACCAATAACATAATCCTAATTATGGCCTACTGAACAAAACCCTAAACCCTAAATGCAGAATAATTAAGATCCTAATAATGGGCTACTGAACAAAACTTAAACCCTAAATGCAGAATAATTACGATCGTACCTATTCGCCTAATTTTCCACAACAATTGACCTAATTTATCGGCAACATAAGAAAATAAATAATTACGATCCTACATATTCGCCATTTTTGCAGCATGATGTTGTCGGCGGACCACAACGAGATTTCTTTACAATACAAGAGAGATTCGATGAGATTTTTTATTCAGAGTGCAGAGAGAATCGGGGAACAAAGATGATATTAGGATTTCACAATGAAAAGTGATTGCAATTTTTCCTATTTAAAATCGACGCGTAAAACTAAAACGACGTCGTTTGGGGATGACGTGGCAAAAAAAATCGAGCTTAAACACGTCCGACAAAACAACATCGTTCCAGTGATGAGATGAAAAAAAAATAGTCTGATAAATACACATCAGCATGTGAGTTGGCAGCAGACGAAAAGTATTTACCATTTTGCAAAGAATTGAAGGACGTGATATCGTATGCAAAAATTAAAAGGTCGTGATTAATATGCAATCTCGATAAAGGCCATGATATTATATGCAATTTTGCCATTAAAATACATCAATAAATAAAAAGCACAAAATTATTTAGCATAAAAATAGATTGAACAAATTATTTAGCATATAATTCATTTACTAATACACATTATACAAAAATTTATCATTAATATTGTATTAAAATACATAAATAAAACAATTCATTTACTAATACACATTATACAAAAATTTATCATTAATATTGTATTAAAATACATAAAAAAAAAAAAACCAA